TTTTTTGGGGTGTTTTTTTTTTTTAACTGCCTGGTACAAAAAAAAAAAAGAAAGAAAAAAAGAAAAACAGCGAAATTGTTATTTCCATCATCTTGGTGAAGCTGAGTGGATGTGTGTGTGTGCGTGTGTGTGTGCGAGAGTGAGGTCCGGGCACAGGGGGAGCTCCAGGCGGGGGCTCTGGGGGCACCCCAGGGCTGGGGGCAGCGGTGGGCCTGGCAGGATGGTGGGGGCCGGAACCCTCACCTGGAGCAGTCTCCAGCCTGCAGGACCAGAGAGAGAGAGAAAGAGAATTAGCATACTTGCTGCTGCCCCCTGGCTAGCCCCCCACCTTGATCCCCACCCCGCCTTTTGAGATTAAGAGAAAAAAATAAAAAAGGAAAAAAAAAAAACTTAAAAACCAGTGAATGTAAAGTGCCGGACCAGGCCCAGCCTGGCAAGGGTGTGGGTCTGGGCCTGTACCTAGGCAGGCTCCCCCGGGGCCATACCAAAGTCTGACCCCCCACCATGGCCGGCTCGCCCAGGAGACCCCTCATAGCCCTCCTGTCTTGTCACCCTGTTTGTACCTGGCTGTCCCTTTCCTTTCTTCTAAGGGAGCGGGGTCTTGGGTGGGGGGAGGAGTCCCCAGCCCCTTAGAGGGTCTTCTGGAAGAGTCTTTGCACTACTGAGACCCATCTCATCCCATGTGGTGGGACAGAGGCAGGGGCCCCTCCAGGACCAAGGCAGTTCAGGAAGCCAGGATTGTAGGAGGTGAGAATGGAGAGACTGAAAGGAAGAGCAGGAGAAAAAAATAAAAATCCACACAAAAAAAGCAAAAATCCTATTTTTTGAGAAAGAAAGATATTTATATTTGCAGTTTTATTTTAAAAAGTTATTTAAGCTGAGGAAGCAGCCTTCCTGGAGCGGGAGTAGGGGGATGTTGGCTGGTGCAGGACGGGTCAGGGCCTGGGGCACCCCAGGAGTGATAACCTCAGAGTAAGACTAGCTCGCACTAAATATATAGATTTACAGGGGGGTGGGGGGCAGGGCTGGAGCGGGAGGGGCCTGGGGAGACCCCCATCCTGCAGCTAGAGCTGCCTGAAGGCTGCAGCCACGGGTCCCCCCTGCCCCACCCGGGCCCACAGACATGAGGTGCCTTGGACTTTGGGGGGCCAGGCCTGGTGGAGCAGGGAGGGGTGGCGCCCATGGGGGGCACAGAGCACAGAGCAGACATTCCAGAGACTGTATTTGAGAGTCTTTATAAAGTGTGGGAGATTTAAAAAAAAATTAATTGATAAAAATGCACTTTTTGGGGGCGGGGAGGGAGAAGCTTTAAAAGTAATAATAATAAAAAAACAAAAAGACAAAAGATGAAAAACTAGACAAAAAAATCATTTTTCTTGTACATAAAAAAAACCACTAAACGCAGCCTGTTATGACCGCTGCTGTCTCAGTTGCCTGATTTTGATGTTCTTTGTGTTTTGTTGCGGGCCAGGGAGGAGGGAGGGAGAGAGGGGAGTGGGGATGGGGGATTGGGGGGCCCCTTCCCTAGGGGCTGGGCCCCTTGTCCACACTCCTTGGGGGCTCCACCTATTCGAGTTCCTTAAGCTCAACCTGACCCTTTCTGCCAGGCCTGGATGCAGTGACCCCGCCTCTGGGCTCCTACGGAGGGGTAGATGTCACCAGCAGTGCCAGACCCGGGGGCCCCTACAGAGGAGGTAACCTGTACCCCCCAGGCACGGGTGGGTGGCACCAGGAAGGGATCTGAGGGATGGTGAGAGCAGGGGCTGGCAGGGAGAACTGGCTGGGCAGGCTCCTTGGTCACCTGCAGGGTTTCTGGAGGCCCTGGGTGGGGTGGCCTTGGCCGGGGAACCCCAAGTCTGCCAGAGGGCCCTGCTGACATGCTCCAAGATCTGAGCTGACCGCTCCCCCTACATTTCATGGTGGGGGAGTCAGGCCAGGGCCCACTCAGTGGGGAGGGGGCCGTCAAGAGGCTGCAGCCCCCTCCTCTGGTTCGGGGCCCTGGGAGGGTCCTTGCCACTTCTGTCTCCTAGACTCAACTGGGGCCAGCAGGGCTGGGGTGGGGGTGGGGTGATGGAGGGGCCACCATGACCTGGGAGGCCCTGGCTGGGAGGTTGCAGAGTGATGACTCCAGGGGTCCTCCATCAGTGGTGAGGTCACTTACCTATCTGTGCTCATGTGGACCCAGGCCTCCAACTCGGGCTGGGTGGGGTGGGGGGTTAGGGGTTCCATGGCCAGATCCCAAAGGGACCTGAGCCAGCCATGAGGGAGACTGGAGGCCTCTGATGAGGACAGACCCAGGGATGGATGATGGTTCTGCAGCTCCTCAGCCCAGGAGGGCATCTTCACTCAGGCTCCCCTGCCTCCCATGCTGCAAGAAGTCTTGTCATGTTCAGAGAACTGTGCAACCGTCCCCTCCATCCAGTTCCAGAACATTTTCACCACCCCATCAAGACCACCCCTCCCCCCTTGAGCACTCACTCCATATGCCCCTCTCCCACCCTGGGTACCCACCCTGTCTCTGTGGATCTGCCTGTTCTGGATGTTTCATGTAAATGGAATCACACACTATGTGGTCTTGTGTGTCTGGCTTCTCTCACTGACCATCACGTCCTCAAGGTTCATCCTCATTGTGCCAAGTGTCAGTGCTTCACTCCTTTTTAAGGTCGATCATTTTCCATTGGGCTTCCCTGCTGTCTCAATGGTAAAGAATCTGCCTGTAGCATAGGAGGCTCAGATGTGGGTTTTGATCCCTGGGTCTGGAGGATTCCCTGGAGACTGTGGCAACCCACCCCAGTATTCTTGCCTGGAGAATCCCTCGACAGAGGAGCCTGGCTGGCTACCGTCCATGGGGTTGCAGAGTCAGATACGACTGAAGTGACTTAGCACCCACATAATCCACTGTGGATGGAGTGTGTGGTGTGTCTGTCCATCTGTTGACGGACACCTGGGTTGTTTCCCAACCACCTTTTGGCTGTTGTGAATCATGCTGCTGTGACCACGTGAACACTTTTATGTACCAGTGTTTATGTGAACCTGTTTTCATTTACCTTGCGGGAAGACACCTGAGCAGAGCCATTGGGCCAGATGGCAACCCTGGCCAGGACTCTCCCACTGAAGCTGCTCCAGGGCCTCACTTCTCCCCGATCCTCACTGACTAGCCGTCCTAGTGGGGACGAGGGGCACATATTCCTGTTGACTGGTGATGGTATCTTTCTATGAGCTTATTAGCCATGTATCTTCTTGGCCCCTCAGAGCGAGCAGGGACCCTCCTTGCATTTTGGTGGCTCTGTCTGAACTGGCCCGGCCCAGCAGACACACACCGGACCTCAAAGTTCAAGGTAGAACCTTTCCCACTGGACTGGACACTGTGCCTCCTGAAGCCAGGTCTTGTGGCACAGCCAGGAGGAGCATGGAGCGTGGACGGGCTTCTGGCTTTGTCCTCTGCTCCCGACCATGGCCCCCGACCCACAGAGAGGCTGACCCCGTGGTAGCTTCACCTTGACTTTTTTATTTGCGTTTTTAAAAAACAATTAAATTAGAATACAAATATTAGAAAACAGCGGCCCTCGGCTGCCGGTGCAGACGGAGGGGGGACCGAACTGCACAACCGAGTTTATACAGCAAAACTGAATTTGCCCTCGACCAGATTTACGTCCCTTTCTTCTCTAGACCTGAAATGATATTGCTTCCTGACTAGCAGAGTTCTGTTCATACAAAGAAAAATTATTCTGGGGTCTGAGGGTGAGGGGTGCAGGGAAGAATAAAAGCAAAAAAGAATGGCGGGCACAGGCGGTCTTGGAGAACCAGGTGTGGCCTCCAGGGGACAAGGGTGCTGGGCAGGGGGCGGGGCACCCAGTGGAGGCATCTGGGGCCACTGCGGGAACCCCCGTGGTTGCTGGACCACCCCGGAAGGCTGGGAGCCACTGGGGGGTGGGGGCGGGGGGGGCCGGGCGGGGAGCTGACGCCCAGTCCTGTTGGAAGACCAGAGTGAGGCTCCCGGGGGAGGGGGGAGCCAGGCAGGCCTTGTACCCGTCGGAAAACCCAAGAGCAAGAAGAGGGGGGAGGAACCACCCCAAATGGAGAGGCCAGGCAGGTCCGTGCCACCCCTCCGAAGTGGCGGCCCCCACCCCGCCGAGGAGGCGGTGTCCATGGACACCTGCGCTGTTCCCTAGGGAAGTTAACCTGAATTGGAGTTACCGAGGTAGCTGGCTAGAAAACTGAGACCCACCCCCCCCACCACGCCACACGGTGCCACGCCCTGGGGCCCCCGCCTGCTGGGGGGGTGGGGTGGGGGGGGCCTGGCCACATGCCGAGTCTTCAAAATACCAAGTTATTGCACTTTCAAAAAATACAACACATCTGTGGCTAAACCCTCCCTGGCCCCCCACGTCCCCCCATTGCCCACCCGTGTCCCCCCCAAGGCCCCACCCCACCCCCACCCACTCCATGGCTTCTTGGCTAAGAGGCTCCCTGCTCTGGGCTCTCAGGAGAGCACGTTAGCAGGGAGAGAGAAAGCAAAGGAACAGATGAATGTCAAGAGTTGTGGCCACCGCTGCCAGGGAGAGGGCCACTCGGCTGCCAGTCCTCCCTGAACTCCCACCACCCGGTCCCTCGCACCAGCTGGAATGGTCGTCGGGGGGCAAGGCATCCTGGGCCTCCCCCAACCCTTCCCAGGGTCGGCTCCGACTTTGGGCTCCGACACCGGCCGGGGAAGCGGCTGTGTGGGTGGCTTGCCTTGTTTTTAAGTTTGCTTTTTTGTTTTCTTTTTCTTTTTTTATACTTTTTTTTTTTTGTCATTTTCCTTTTTTTTAATCCTCCGATGGGAGAGTCCAGAGGTACAGGTGCCAGGAGCCAGGGAAAGGGGTGGAAAAAACAAAATGAACAACAATGAAAAGAAAAAAAAATCACTCCTCCCTCTGTGCCCAAGGCCCGCCTGTGCCCCTCCAAGTGGTGAGCACCAGGAAAGTCGAGTGTCCGGCTGGCGCAGCGGCGGCCAGCAGTCAGCAGGCCGACACCAGACCCTTTTGGAAGGGGCAGCGGCGCTTGGGCCGGGGGCCCTCCTCGTCCTCGTCCTCCTCATCCTCTTCTTCTTCCTCCTCCTCCTCCGAGGATGACGAGCTGTCCAGCGTTAGGTCCACCACATCAGCTCCCGGCTTCCCATTCTCCACGCTGCCCACTGGGCCACCTCCACTGCCCGCACTCCCAAGCACGCTGCCGCCCCCGCCGTTGACGCTGGGGGTAGAGAGGAGCCCATTGGCGTCCGAGGTGCCTGCAGGGGAGAGGGGACAGATGCTCGAGGGAGCTGCCAGCCTGCAGAGCAGGGGAATTGAGGCCAGAAAGGGGCAGGGGCAGCCTGGCCATGTGGCCCACTTTGGAGGACAGGGCAAGGGGCCTGATGCCCGCAGGCCCCTGGCACTCTGGATGGGGCTGGCACTTGGACCGCCTCTGAGCACTCACAGACCACCTCGGATGCCCCTCTCTAGAGGGACTGACTCCATCGAGACAGTCGTGTTTCAGATAAAAAGGCGGCGGGGCGGGAGACAAGCCCCAGGAAGAGGTGGGTGGCCTCACCGAGCACGAGGATGGGGCACTGGGGGCTGCAGCTGCGCTCCTTCTCGGCGCGAATCGGGCACCACGAGCCATCCACCAAATACTCAATCTCGTCCGCGTCCTCGCACTCGCTCAGGATCTTGGAGAGGAGCCTAGGGGTAGGAAGAGGGGTGCTGACTCCAGGGTTGCACTGTGCTCCCCAGGAGCCACCTCCTTCTCCTAAACAGTGCTTCAAGGCATGATGCTGAAGAGAAGCTGGAGGCTCTGGTGTGTGCCTTGCTCCTGGTCTGGGCATTTGGCCCCTCCCCAGACCCTTGTAGCTGCTGCAGAGGGTGGGCCATGGGCCTGCCTCACCCTGCAGGCAGGGAGATCCAGGCCAGACAGCAGCAGGGCTAAGTACACAGCACTGGCCACACCTGGTGGCCTGAGGTTCTGCGAGGGCCACACATAGTGAGCCCTTCAGTCACCACCCCATCATGGCAAGATGACTGGCAGAGAACGGGACCTGCCCTCCAGCTGCTCTGGAGCATGGGGCCTGGGGAAGCCACAGGAAGGCCCCCCTACCTGGCCCCCACCCTCTCATCCTGACACTGTGCTGCCTGTTTTTACAGATGAGGAACCTGGGGCTCAGAAAGGAGACACATGCTGCTCAAAGGCCCTGAGAGGCTCTGGGCTCACCTGGGACTGGAGGGGCTCGGGTCACTTGCAGTCAGCCAGCAGCACCCCCCCGAGGGCACCTGTGGAAAGTTACAGCCCCAGGTGCTGCTCCTAATAGACTGCCAGCAAGTCTGACTTTACAGTTGGGGAGACACAGGGAGGGGCAGCGGAACGCAGTGGTGTAGGGTGGGGGAGTGAGTCCCCCTAGGCCATGAGGCCATGTGATGGCAGGCCTGAATTCTGGTCCTGCAACAGCTGCTCCTGGGCCTCAGTCTCCCTGCCTTCAGGGTGAGGCAGGCCCAGTACCCACCCTCTACAGCAGCTACAAGGGCCTGGGTAGGGGCCAGGAGCAGGGCACACCCACCAGAGCCCTCAGCCTTTGTCCAACATCTACACTGCACCTGACTACAGGTGGCTTTGATCCCCTCCGTCACGATCACACAGGAGGAAGGCCTTGTCCAGGACACCCTCTGTGGCTGAAGGGGCCCCTCCAAACCCCATCACCCCCTGGTCACCACAGTATGAGCACAGCTCTGGTTGCCATGCATGTCACACCTGGAAAACTCCTACTCATCCTCCAAAGCCCTGATCTATGCTCCTCTTCTCTAAGCAGAGCATAAGTAACAGTGTCTGTGTCTGGCTCAGTCCTCCCAACCCACATGCCCACAGGGGAGTTCCCCGAAGCATGGAGTTCTTTGGGGGCCCCCTAAATCACCCAGCTAAGGGCCAGAAACAAAACAGCAGAGCCTTGAGGAAGAACTGTATGACTCAAGGACCCTTCCTCCAAGAAGCCTTCCTGGCTACACTCAGGCCCTGCAGGCTGATGGAATCACAGTCTGTGTGGGACACCATCACACTACCCAGTCCTAGGCCTATGTGTCCCTAGAGCTGTCAGAATTACCAGCACTTGGGCCGAAGTGACCTGCTCCAGGGCTGTGGGGGGAGGCGGGCCCAGGCTGCACAGCTGCCAGGCTGGGAACAGAGCTGCCATTCAGGCCCAGCCTGGTGCCCGGCCCCAGGGGCCTCCTCACCCCACCCCAGGCTGGACATGGTGGGAGTGGCAGCTCGGCCCCTGCTGGGAGGGGACCCAGGCTCAGAGTTAGCCTGACTGGACTTGCTTCTCCAAGTCCTTGCCGAGCCCCCTGGGAGCCGGGGGCCTGGGCTGTGGGCTGCCCCTCCTGAGACTCAGTCTCCTCATCTCTAAGGTGGGGGTGATCAAGGCCCACCTCCCTGAGCAGTTGAGAGGGAGGGCTTGCAAGACATCTAACGCAGTGAGTGGACTGAGACAAGTGTCTGACGATGAGGACCGTCAACATGCGGCCACTGCAGGTCAGGGCTACCCCATTCCTCACGGCATTGGCCCCAGCTGCACCTCGACCACTGGGTGTGGGTGGGGCCGTCACGCAGTCAGCTGTCCAGGGCTTCCCCATGGCCCCTCCTGCCTGGGCCATGTGGTCCCCACCCCCACCAGCCCCAGCTCTGGGGCCAGAAGTGGGTGTGGCCAGCACCTGGCAGGAGCCTGGCAGTCAGGTGCTGGGCTTCTGGAAACTTAAGCCCAGAGTGAAGTTTTCCTTTGGGGAGAATGGCCTCTTTCCCCATCTTCCCTTCAGTGTGGGGAGAGCCTGCTGGCTAGGCTCAGTGGGACAGTCTGACCATACACCGCTGCCCCCCTAGGAAAGGGACAATAGAATTGGGCAGAATGCTGGGGAGACGTGTGTCTGCTTCACTCTTCCACATGAAAGATTCGACTAAGCCTCTGCTGAGCGCAGCTGGAGAAGCTGCTCCCCGAGCTGTGTAGGTTCCCTGGGGAAGAAGCAGGCTCAGAAAATGCAAGGTCATGGGGGAGCAACAAAAGACCTTGTGGGTCTGGAGCCCCTCTTCTGAACCGAAGCTACACTATCACCAGGCAGACAGCCTTAAAGACCCTGACATCCTCCAGGGCTGACATTGGCCTCTCTTTCTAGCCTGGGGCCATCGGAGCTGCCACGGGACGAGAGGCACCAGGAGGGACCATGGAGGCCTCAGGGGTCACAGGGCCCCCGCTTCTCTTTCCAAAGGCTCTGGGAGGCAAGGGGTCCGCATGCCCCTAGGACTCACCCATCAATGATGAGCTGGTCATAGGGCGCCGGCTTGTCACACACCGGGCACATCCAGGTGGGCTTCTTCTCGTTCATCTGGAGGTAGAAGACTGCGTCGAAGCACTGCAGGTGTGCGCAGGTCTCCGCGCGGCAGGGCACCGACAGCCGCATCTTCACCAGCTGTGGGGGCAGAGGGATGGTTGTGAGCGGCCGCCCAGCCAGCGCCACCCACCACTGGCTGCCCCATGACCTCATGCGTTGACTCACCGGGCAGATGAGGGAGACCCGCACGCCCGTGGTGGCGATCTCGCTGTCAGGGTCCAGGCGCAGCTTCTCTTTGACTGTGGGAAGGGGTGACTGATGTCAGCAGGGAGGGACAGGGGTGCCTGCAGGCCCGGAGCTGAACAGCGGGTTCCCTCAGCACACAGAGATACTTGGGAGGGCAGCAGCTAAAAGCTCAGTGCCCCACTTCAGAGGGTTCACATGGCGAGTCTGTCACACCCACCTCCCTCAATGATAGTACACATGTCTGAGCTCCAGGGCCCAGGACTATGAAGAGCAGCTAATGCTAAAGAGCCCTGGGCAGTGGCCACTCATTTCTGACAACAACCTGAGCGCTCACAAGGGGGCCCCCTGACAAGCCTACCCTTTCTGGAAAGACCCAGATGAGCTGACAAGGGTCACCTGCTGTGACTGTTCCTTCTGATAAAAATCAAGGCCTCCAAGAGCTGGGAAGCCCCAAGGCCGGGAGAGCCCTCTGGGGGCTCACAGGAGCGAGCCCATGAGACAGCTCCCTTGCACCGCCCAAGCCTGCTTCTCTCACAAATCAGAAGACGGTGGGTGCCAACCACAAAGCTACCTGACTGTAAGTACGCGAGGTGTAGAGGGAAAAAAAGCCTGGAAGGAAATGGCACACTGCAGCCCTGGGGATGGGCCTGCAGGGGGCGCAGGGAGCTGGCTGACCAACCTGAGACGAGCAGCCGTTGAACTCCAAACCCCAGATGGCTCAGGACTGTGCCTAGGCCCACACAGTGGAGGGCACTCTGCTCTTCCCTCCTCTACACATGGACTGCGCCCCTCCTCCTCCTCCCACATGGGGCTGAGGGCAACCGGCCAATTTGTCCCCCACCCTGGTGTCCTGCTGTTCTCAGCCACCCTGTGGCCCCTCTCTCTGGCTGAGAAGTACTAACGAAGGATAGATCCCGAGGCTCTGGCCCCTCAGAAAGACCAAGAGCAGCTGAGAATGGACCCAGCGCACACCACGCTTCATAGCAAGGCCCTGGTCCTCCTCCACATGACAGAGGGAGGGCGTGTGCAGCAGGAGGGGTTCCGGTGAGACACACAACAGGACTTCCCCGCTGCGACCAGAGAGGAAGCCTGGCTGCCCGAGTAGGCGGTCAGCTGTCCCACACACTGTGACAACACCCTGCTGCTCCTCCTGGCCGTTCACTGAGGAGTCAACCCAGGCCTCTGGGCCTATGCCCCCTGGGGCCCACAGTGCCTGGATGACCCTGTCCAGCCCCACACCAAGCCCAATATGGGGAGCCCACCTCCCCTGGTCAAGTTGGCCATTGTCCCCACAGGGAAACAGGCAGGTGGGGGTAGGGTTGAAGAAAGGGCCCTTTGAAGAAAGTAAGGAGGGGCAGGGGGATTGCCCAGGCTGAGGCCCTGCGGTCACAGAGCCCTAACTCTGCCATGCTGGCCTCAGTGTCTCCGCTGGTCAGACTGGGATGTGGCCAGGCCCTGCTGCCCAGATCTGCATGAGGATGGAGTCGGAAGCCAGCCCACCAGGGCCTCCAGGTGACCAGAGAGGGAACTCCCAAGCCACTGCCATGCAGGGCAGCCCAGGGCAGGACGCAGGAAGGTTCCATCTGCCCGTCTCAGCTGTCACTGGGCCTTTAACACTCTATGTAGCCCTATTCCCTTTAACTGGTTTAGAAAGAAAAAAAAAACCCAAACTGAATGATCTCAGCATCCCTGGTCAGACCCTCATCTTCAGCCTCTGAGCGCGGACCCCGCACACCCTGTCTCTGTACATCAGCCCAGAAGCACCTGCCTGGACCACTGATCACAGGGGTCCTCCCCTCCCCTACAAGCCCTCCAAGGCCCCTTGCCCCATGGACCTTGGTAGCCCTCACCCTGCCTCTCTGTGCCCACTCACTGAGCTCTGGCTCATCCCTCCTCAGGGCCTCTGCACTGATGGTTCCCGGTCTGACTCCCCACTTCCTTCTGCACTCTCTTAGAGACCTCCCAGAACACCCCAACCCCAGGGTGACAGCTGGACCCTGGGAAGTCCAGGTTCCTCCATGGAGGGCCCGCCCACAGCAACAAGCCCCAACAAATTTGGGGGTCAGCATCAGGGACGGAGGGGAGCCCCACCCAGCAGTGCCAAAAGCCCCAGGGCTCACCCAGTGCCTTGCACAGCTCCGGGTGCTTGACCCCGATGGTCTTCAACCTCTGCAGCAGCTCCGAGGAGGTCAGCTGCCGCACCAAGTACAAGGCCACGGAATAACTCTGGGGGGTGGCGGGGCGGGAAGGGGCGGTTTAGTCAGGGCCAGGTTGCGGGGGCAGGCTGGGCAGAGGCGGTTGGGCAGAGGCAGGCGGGTCCAGGCCGCTCACCTTGCCGTAGTTGCCCCAGGTGACAGTGATGCGGTTGGTGGCCGAGGACAGGTACATGAGGTGGGTAAGGTTGATGGGGCGGCACGGCCTCTTGGGCTCCACTCCAGGCTTGTTTGAGGGGTAGTAGCCCTGGGGGCAGATGTGCTGGCTGCGACCACCTCTAAGTGCTGTGCCCCCTGCCCCCCAGCACTCTGCCCCACCCCCCACAGCAGACCCGGGCTGCTGGGCATGCACTCACCGGCACCGAGCAGTAGCTGTGGTTGACTTTCACAGCGATGTTGGGTGGGTACTGGTCTTCCTGAGGGCTGCTGGTGTCTGAATAGCAGATTCTGCGATGACAATGGGGACCATGGGGTCATGAGCACTGTGGGCAGGGGTGGGCCCGCTGGGAGAGGTGGGGAAGACAGATGGGGAGCTAGGGGGAGACGACATGACCTGTGTCTGGTCTAGCCTGACAGGGGGATCTCAATGTTAGACTGTACGGGTGTCAGACCGTGTCTGGCCTGAGGGTGGGAGGTGGGCAGCGGCATGCTGGTGCATCCAGGGACAAGGCCAGAGAGCAGGAAGGGAGGATCAGGTGGGGGCGGAAGTAGTCTGAGAGGGTTCTGGGGTCTTGGGGTGGGGCGAGACAGAGTTTCAGCCATCCAGGATGGCGGAAGGGAAGGTGGGCAAGGGTCGTGTCCCCACCCACCCGTGACCAGGCACACCTGGGCTTACCTTAGGACAACCTGAACGGCCTTGACCCCAGGCTGCAGTTCTCTGTGTGGGGAGCAGAGGAGAGTCAGTGAGAGGGCCTGTGCCCAGCAACCACTCTGAGCCTTCGCCAGGGAACAGCCAGGTGGACTGACCCACGACCTCCCACGGCAACCAAAGGCCTCAGGGCATCACCTAGAACATTCTCCCCCACCGTCTACTTGCCGGTGACTTGGGCAAATGATCTCTTTCTGGAGAATGGGGGCCTGTGTGGATGGTAAGAGGGCTAGTAGGTGTGGGCCCTATGCCCACCGGGCAGCCACCCTGGTGGTGACTTGTCCCAGCTGGAAACTGAAGACCTCGAGGGGCAGAGTCAGAGCCTGGGACCAGCCTGCCTCCCTCGTCTGCTCACCCAGGGTGGTCCTGCCCCCACAGGACACAGGTGGTCACCACTGAGGGGCTCCTGGCCTCAGGGGAGTAGGGGCACGATGTTGCCCCACACCCCACAGAGAACGCCCCCATCCTGGATGTCGGGAGCAGTGAGGAGGGACCCTGTGAAAGGGGGACAACTGGCCCACCTGGGGGCTGTGGGTTAAAGGTGCTAAGAGCATGTGGTGGGGGCCACCCTTCCTGGTGAAGGCTCCCTGGGCTGCCTGGCGGCAGGCACAGCACACCTGGAGTTCCGGATCAGCTCCACCTGTCTGGGGGTCAAGGCGAAGATGCAGGGACTCTCCTGAAGCTTCTCGTTATTCTGTGGAACTGACAACAAACGTGGAGTCAGGGTCAGGCCTGGGCCCTGGCAAGGGTGCCAACCACCATCATCCCTCCAGGCCTGACCCTCTTCAGACTGGGCCCATCCGGGTGGGATGGATGTGGGGCCCACTGGGGATGGTGGGGGGTTGGATCCTGCCACTTCCTGGGGCCATTCATCACTGCCTATGGTCCAGGGAACACTCACATCCCCCATGTTCCCCACTGAGGGCCTCTCGGGCAGCAGTAGCCTCTACAGCCCCTCTGTTCAAGAGGGCTGAGAACTGGACCGCCCTGGTAGTCCGGTGGTTGAGAATCCACCTGCCCCTGCAGAGGGCCCAGGTGCCTCCCTGGTCATGGGGATCCCACAGGCTGCAGCTTAAGAGTTCACATGGTACAACTAAAGATCCCACTGCACAACAAAGGCCTGGCACAGCCCAATAAAAAAATAAATGTGTGTGTTTTTAAATGAAATAGGTTTAAGAGACAAAAAAAAAAAAATGAAAAGGATTTTAAAATGAAAGCTGTATGCTTCCTCCACAAGAAGCTAGAAAAAAAAGCACAAACTAAAAGCCAAAGCCATTAGAAGGAAGGAAACTAAAGATAAAGATGAAAGTCGATGAACTAGAAAGCCAACAACAGAGAAAACCAACAAAGCCAAAGTTCTTTGATAAACACTGAGCTAGACTAACAAGACTGTGAGAGTACCAACTGTCAGGGACGAGGGGTGGACAACAGTACAGACCCTAGGGCCTTTGACCGGGGTGGGGGGTGGGGGAAGCAGGAGAGGGGCTGTAACTTCACACCAATAAATTCAACAGTCTAGAGGATACGAACAAATCTTCCAAACACAGATTATCAAGACTAGCATCAAAACATACAGAAAGTTTGAAAAGCTTTTTACCAGTTAAAAAAAAATGAACTCACAATTCCATCAGATGTTTAAGGAAGAAATCATATGAACTACATATAAACTCTTCCAGGGAAGTCCCTAGTGGCCTAGTGGTTATGATCCCAGTCTTTCATTACCGGGGCCCGGGTTCAATCCCTGGTTGGGGAACTGAGATTCCACAAGCTTCTCAGCAAGGACATAAATAAAACAGACAAACTCTTTCAGAAAGTAAAGGAGGAAGGACACTTCTTGATTCATTTTAATGAGGCCGACATAACCCTGCTTCCAAAACCTGACAGAACTGCATCAAGAAAGGAAAAACACAGTTGACTATCTCTCATGAATGCAAAATATCTTTAATAAAACATGAGCAAACAGCCAGGCCCCCTGGGATTTGGCAAAGGAATGCAAGGTTGGTTTAAAAACCTCTACACAGGGACTTTCCTGGTGGTCCATTGGTTGAGGATCTGCACTTCCACTGCGGGGGCTCAGGTTTGGTCCCTGGTCAGGGCACTAAGACCTGGCATGCCACTCAAGGCGTGGCCAATAAATAAAAAAACAGATGAAACCTACGAAACCTCTACTTACAATAGCTAAAATGACAAGACCAGCCGTTCCAAGTGCTGCCAAGGATGTGGAGCAACTAGAACTCTCTGCTGAGGTAACAGGGAACATGGTTGTAACATGGAACAACCACCTAGGGAAACTGTTAGCCAATGGCTAATAAAGTAAAACATATACCTGGCCCTGTAACCAGCAACCTGCTTTTAAAGGCATTTCCCAAATAAGCAGAAGTAAGTCTACAAAAAGACTTGTGCAAGAATACCCGGCTAATCTATTCCGAGTAGCTCTGAACTGGAAGCAACCTGAGTGACCAGCAATAGAAGAACACATGGACAAGCTGTGGTACTTTCATACTATAAAAGCTGTAATTCATTCATCAATATGGACAGACAGGAAGCCGTACAGCTGAAACAAAGAAGGCAGATGCAGAGATGGACATGCTGTGTGTGTTATGCCACCTTCCTGAAGAGGCAAAGCTAAGCCACAGTGACAGAACTCAGAACGGAGGCGGCCTCTGGGGGATTTGGGGGGGGCGGGGGGCAACTCAGCAGTGATGGAAATGTTCTGTATTTGGTGGCACTGTGGTTACTCAGCACGTGCCTCTGCTACAACTCAAATGACAAGCTAAGTATCTGTGGATTTCACTGTATGGAAACTGGATTTTAAAGTTTAAAAATTTAAAACTACCCTGAGGAGTGGTGATTATTCTGTGATGCATCAAAACATGAAGTCACTTTACACCAGGAAGTTGTATCAGATTGTTGTATATCAATCATACTTCAACTTAAACATAAATTTGAAGAAGCAAAGAAACAAAAAACACCCCTCAAAACCAAAAAACAAACAAAAAATCCTCTACACTGAGAAGTCATCTGACTGCAGACTGGAAGGGATTGAAAAGTTTGATAACAATTGATGAGGCTGGGACTTCCCTTGCAGTCCAGTGGTTAGGGCTCTGCACTTCCACTGCAGGGGGGCCTAGCTGTGTGGTGAGGCCCAAAAACACCAACACCACAGACAAGCTGATGAGGCTATGGCTAGTAGGAGTGACACCCTCTAGGGAGGGTAAGCTAGCACTGTCTGCCAAAATGACTAACACCTCAGAAGCAGCCACTGCAGGTGGTGCACATACAGGAAGACCAAGGACCCTGTCACATGGGATGTGGGAAGGTTTTTATCAGCAACAGTTAAGGACCTAAATACCCACCTGTGTGATGTGGCCCTACGTGGAGGAATACTAAGCTCCGTGAACACGGGAGCTCCCATCAGGTGGCTCTCTGTGCTCCAACAAGAGACCAATCCCCAGGATGGTTTAAGTGGGAAGAGCAGGTGCAGAACAGGGTGCAGCTCAGGCTGCCAGGTGCAGAACCAAACCCGAGGAGGGGGTCTGCGCCACAGCTGCCCCTGGGGAAGGGGCGCCAGAACTGGCTTTGACCATAGCCTTGGCAACAAGCCCTGGGGAGGCAAGGTGTCAGCTCTCTTCCCACGGCAAACCCTTTAGAACACTGGTGGGCAGACTGTCCCTAAAAGGAGCTGGAGTATAAATATTTTCAGCTTCACGAGCCACACGGTTTCTGCCTCCACGTCCCCACTCTGCCCGGTACTGCAAAAGCCTGGAGCACACGCCTGGAGTGGCCAGGGGGCAGTAGGGAGCCCACCCCTGCTTCAGAACCTTCTGAATTCCAAAATTTAAAAAGCAAACAGGATTTGAATGTTAAAGCAGCTGGGGCCCATAAGCCAGACCTCGTGGGGCTGAGGGATCCCACCCCAGCTTCACTGAGCCCAAGCCCCGTCCCCACCCAAGCCTGGGCGCCCCTCATGCCCGGGACCACCAGGACTGGACTGTTACTGGGGGTGCTCAGTGCTGGTCCGGAGCTGGCGCTCAGTGAACAGTAAGCTATCAGCTCCTGTATGCATGGAGGGCTGGTCCCTCCGGAGTCCCTGCTGGGCCCCTGAGAAGGCTGCCTAATTGGAGGGCTGGGCTGTGCAGGCTACTTGCAGATGTGCCCAGACCTGCCCGAAGAGCCCGGGGCAATTATTTATGAGGTAGGGGGAAGAGCCTCAAAACACCTGAGTTGGGCCGCCAGGCTGAGCTGGGGGTCAAACACACTCCCCCAACCCCACAGAATCTCCTGGGAGGCAAGGGAAGGGCCCACCCACCCGCCAGCCACAGAGCAGAAATGGAGAGAAAGGTCACTGACGGCTGGGTCCTGAGTCCATGCAGTAGGGGCAGGTGGCGCTTTCCAAAGCCATCAGCCCAGAGTGGCTGACTCTTACTCCAGGGAGCCAAGTGGCCAGGGGAGGCCAGTTGCCACCTAGGCTGGGACAGCACAGGCTGCACCGCTGGGAGAGGGTGGGGGTCCCCCAAACCCAAGACTTTGCCATCCACCTCCAGGGGTGGCCTTACCCTCCCAGTTGTTCAAGGCCAAGATTCCACGACCCTCGCCCCCACCTCCAACCCTCGCCCCCACCTCCAACCCTCGCCCCAACTTCCAATCTTGGCTCCCCTTGACCAATTCTATTGGCGCAGGCTTCCAAAGGAGCCCCTTCGCCATCAGGGCTCATCTGATCAATGTGCAGACCCCTCCTGGCTCCCCCCAGCTCAGGGGTCAGGGGGAGTGATGGGGGCAGGGTTCTTCCCCCAGCCCTGGTGGCCCTGATTCCACCGCAGCCACCCTGGCTGCCTCCTCCTGCTCGCCACCTGCCAAGAACATCCCGCCTCGCCTCGGGGCCTCTGTGCGCGTGTCATCCCCTCTTCCAGAACACTCCTCCCCCGACGATCTACACAGCTCTGATGTCTTTTAAGTCTGTGCAAATGCCACTGGGACGAAAGCCTTCCCTTCCCTAGTGGCTTTATTTAAAAACTGCAACTCCCACCCCACCCCAGCCCACCAGCAGCTCTGGCAACCCCCACCTCCCTCCCGGCTTCCTTTTTCTCCAAAACCTCTCTGTCCCGAGAATTAGCACCATTTCCCCATGTCTTCGGGTCACTGTGGACACTCCACTGCACAGCGCGGGGTGGGGGAGGCCCTGCCAGGTGGTGTGGGGGCTGGGAGGAGGTACACGCCCTCCCAGCCCCAAGCACACCCACAGGCCTCAGAGTCTCTCCGGGACTAAAGGGAAAACCCTGCCCCAGGGTCCACGGCAGGCGGACCAAGTGAACAAGGGAAACCTCCCCCGGGACCCTGACAGAGGGCCAGGCAGCCCTGCAAAGCACCGCCAGCAAAGAATATGTAATGATCTCAGCAGGTACTCAACATATACTGGGGGGGTGGAGGTAGTGGCGACTGATAAACCAGCAGTGGGGCTACTCTGAGCACGGAGCAAGAACAAGCGCCTGACTGCTTTGCTATTGACCTGCCTTTTCTCAGATAAATACATATTTTTACAAAAGTTTAAACAGAAAGAGACTTTAAGAAGTCAATCGGCTGGGACTTCCCTGGTGGTTCAGTGGCTAAGCTCCCAATGCAGGGAACCAGAGTTCGATCCCCGATCGGAGAACTAGATCCCACATACTGCAACTAAAGATCCCTTGTGCTGTATCCCTGGACTT